AGAGTTGTATTTTTCCACCTTGAATGCAGTAATTTGTTAAATATGTTTCCGTGACATGATAGTTATTATGTTGTCTACGACGTGCAGGGGCGAGGTGGCATTCTGCAGCCAGGAGTGCCGGGAGAAGCAGATCGAGTACGACGAGCGCATGGAGCAGACCTGCTCCCTCACCTCCATCAAGGAGGCCCCGTCCGTGTCCGGCGCGAGCGGCTCCGACCAGTCTGGCAACGGCGGGGAGACCGTGGCCGCCGCCTAGTCCGCGTGGCGCAAGGGGTGGTGTATGTTGTTGCGCCTTGAGCAGCAGGAGGAGCGACGCCAGATCGATCGATCGGCCCGTAGTTTCCGCCATGCTAGAGCGTTCTGTGCATAGTACAGCTTTAGCTCTAGATTCCGGCAGTGATGAATGCGTCAGTGATTTATTAGTAGGTGATTGATGCATGTAACTCTGGAAATATGACGCTCTCTTGTTGAAACAAATGGGGAAAAAAGAGACCCGGGTTGCAACGACAGATTCTCGTCACCCTTTCTCGCATCGCATATGCCTGGTTTCCTCACAATTGTGCTGTCAAGCGGACCAGGCTGCCTGTGCTTGTGCTGTAGAATTTGACAATCTGCTCCCCAGCTGAGGAGAGCATGGCCTTGTTGAGATGTCAAAAATTTTGGCAAAATAACACTGCAGCATTTGACAATTAGTATCCAATTAGAGTTTAATTAGGTTTAAAAGATTCATTGGACAATCTGCTCCCCAGCTGAGGAGAAAAAATTATAAAATTTTTTGCAGCAAACTCTCACTCATCAGGACTCAGCTGCAGGACAGACAGAAAAGCAGTCTGGTCTGGTAATGTGGTGTGGTGTGGCGCGCAACACAAGAGGACAAGTGCCTGCGTGGTGTCATCGTGCGCGGCACTGCACATTCTAGACGGTGTGGTCCTGGCTGGTGGCTGCATGGTCTAGAACCAAGTAGACGCCCGTGATCTGATCAGTCTCGATGCAATCAACCACCTGCAAGCTGCAGGAGCAGGACAACCACCGCTGCGCTGCAACAGCGGCAGGTCTACTGACACACAACGACGGTGGCCGCCTCACGAACACGAGCTTTTGACCGGCCATGACCGAGGATGAGGAGAACCCCGCCTCATCGTCTGTGGTCGTCACTCTACGCATGTGCGCGCCTACTGTAGTACCTAGTACGCACGTCGTGACCCATCTATGGACGTGCTGCTTTCCACGGCGTAAAAAGCACGGCTCTGTTTACTTTAGGGCTGTCATGAACAGAGGTTGGCTTGACATATCACGTCCGGATCTTTATCGTCGTCGTCCTGGAACTGAGAATTCGACACATGGGAAATGCGATCTGGAGGGCTACTGCCTACTGGACTAGAGGTCTAGTGTGTTTGGTTACAAGGAAGACGATGGAATGGTCACTCCTTTGCGTTTGGTCGAGGGGGACGTAATTATTCATGACATATGCTTGTTTGAAAAATGCTGAAAGATGGGACGAGACACCAAGCTGTGGGGTCGAGGGGGACGTAATTATTCATGACATAGCCGTATTAGGCCCTGAACTATTATTCAAGCTCACTTTTATTCCTAAATTTTCAAAAAATAGGAGCAGCAGTTTTTTTTTCCTGTAGCCATGCACTGATGCACTCTAGTGATTTGAGAGATGAGAAAAAGACATAAGCAGCAGTTTTTTCTCTGTAGCCGATCATAGCACCAGCGCGGAGGCGGAGGCGACAAGCTACAGTGGCCGCCTGCGCAAAAGTAGCATGGGCCAGCTCAGCGCCAGAGTTCGGGGCGTCGAGATCGGCGCCAAGATTTGTGGCGCCGATCTCGGCGCCATGTATTATGGCGCCGATGTACCGGCCACGTCAAGTCCACCTAGATTTCGATTAGGCACTTCGGCATCAAGATCTGTGGTGCGAACGTGTTACCTCGGCGCCATGAGTCATGGTGGCGACCTTAGGGTCAAAGATGAGTTTAAGTCTCGAGAGACAAAAATAGATTTTCTTCGAAAAAAAGTTAAATTGTAAAAAATTAGGGAGCCACGACCAGCGCCCTCCCTAGTCTTCCATGCTCGTGCTCAGCCGTCGTAAGTTTGTGAAGGCCCTAATCTGGCCTCCCTAAAATTTGGTACAACTCTTGCCAATTTTATTTAGGTTAAAAAAGAACTTTGTTGTGGTACTTCCAAATGGTTGTGTGCCATTTAATTAATTGGATTGGATGGTTAGGATTTTTATTTTATAAAGTAAGATAAGTAATAAAAGTTTTCGATATAAAGGTATTTTTCTAGATTTAATTGATGCATGCATAATCTATTGGATACGGTATTTTTTTTGTTACTTTGAATATGACATAGTTTGATTACCATAATTTAAACAAGACATGGCATAATATATTTTGATTAGTATAATTTGGATTTGGTCTAATGTACGTGAAATGATTTGGACTTGGCCGAACGTGCATTGGATAATTTAATTGGCACAATTTGATGAGCTACCTATGGTAAAATATTCCAATTTCCACCCGATGCCGTGTCCCAGATGCACGGATGGAAAGGCTGCGCATGAAAGGAAGGGCTGCTGGCCTGCCCGTTTTCGTTCGAGGGGATTTTATAATATTTTTTCTAGGGCAATTATTCAAATAAAAAAATTTAAAAATCAATAGCTTAGGCTTGAAGTAATACCTCCTAGTAGAAAAATGAGCATGTCTCTCCGTTGCGATATTTCTGTTCTTTTTCCTGCTTATTATTGGAGACTATGATCTGTTCTTTCTCAATTGATACTGCTACCATTGCAATATTTCTGCGTACGTACTTTGCCTTATTGGTGTTAAGCTTGCGCCACATTATCTTTTTAGACCTGAAAAGCAACGAAACATAGATACACTTATTATTTTGGGACGGAGTGCGTTTGGTTGCTTTCGCCTGTCTCTCAGAGTCAAGTGTCCAGCTGCGTACTTCATCGCCTCCTGCCGTGGATGGGGAAACCGTCCCATTCTTTAATCCTCTCTTCTAGATCCTTTCCTTCTATCGCCTACGCATTGGGACATTAGAGAAATGCCATGAACATGCGCCTGTCGCGGCACTAATACGACATTCACATCGAGTTTAAGATACATATAAAAATCATGGTTGCTGTATGCTGGTTGGTTTGGCAGCCGGGGCAGGGACTCCCTGCTAGTTTTTACAAGGAGCAATGTAACAAGAAAGGCGATTACTACAGATGATGATGCAGGCTTCCAGTTGGGAAAGCATGGGAGAGAAGGAACTCTGAATTTTCACTTCTATGGTTTCGAAGTTAAAAAAAATGATTGTACCTAAGAGCTGAAAGCGGTAACAAAAAAATAATTGAAGATTTCCCATCAGCTGTTATCTTAACCAGGTCCCATGTTGTACTTTTTGGTTGGCATTAGGCAAGTGGCTCACTTTTTGTATTGCGTTGTGTTGTTATATACCACCAAAACGTGAGGAAAAGGGTTCGGGTGGCCGCAGATGACGACACAAATTATGGGAGGCCCTTCAGAGTCCCCGGACCAGTGTCAGCTGTTGTGGATTGTTTTATTTGTTTGTTTATTCTCTATTTCTCTCTGAAAGGTCGTCACCGGTGTGGATTATTCTTCACTCAGTTAATATGTTCTGTAGTTTCATTGAGCGACAGATTCCCCCATTGGTTCCGTATTTTGGACGGTCATCCGTGTCTGCATGCACTTCGTCGATCTATCTTTCTAGGCCTAGACAAATGGGCCGGGATATATACTTCCTTCATCTTTTTTTTTACGTATTAACCTGGTCCTAAATCAAATATTTTTAACTTTAACTACTGATTTCAAAAGATTTTTACTCTCTCAGTTCTAAATTATAAAATATTTTAAATTAACGTCTTATAATTCAAACGATGAGATGAGAGTACATCATAACAACGTATGATATTACCGTAAACAGATTCAAGCTTATTTGGAGCCCTTCCTGTGAAACCAAATGGAACACCAATTAAGATTTCCCCCTCGGTGAAAAAAGCTATGGTCTGATGATCTGATCTTCCTTTCTTCTGATAAGTGATAAGCCTCGCTTCGAAGCAGCCAAACGGCCCCAAATGCACTGCGCTTGTACAGTACGAAAAGGTTAGGTCCCGTCTCATCGAATATTTAGACAAATACATAAAGTATTAGATATAGACTAAAAAATAATTAATTACACAGTTTACGACTAATTTACGAGATGAATCTTTTAAGCCTAATTAGTCCATGATTTAATAATTTGGTGCTACATTAACACATGTACTATTGATAAACTAATTATGTTTAATAAATTCATCTTATGGATTACTACTAATTCTATAATTTATTTTTTATTAGTATCAAACACCATACGACACTTCACGTGACGCCCATATAATACACTAAAACTTTACGTCCTGAGTTTAAACCATCCCTCGAACTAGCATGTCTTGTCCCATCCCTCGAACTAGCATGTCTTGTCCGAATCTAGCACCTCGGTGTGGATGCAAACAAACGTTTCAATCACCCGTTGCACGAGCAGTCTTTCCGCTCTCCTGCTGCCTGCCAGGCGTCGCGCCTGCCGTCCTCACTGGCGTGGACGCGTGCCGAGACGTGGCCCGCCGGCGCACCGCGCAGCACGTTGGCGAAGCCGCGCCGGGCGGCATGGGCATGTGGCGTGGCGTCCCACTTGGCGCGCTGCCACGTCCTCCGCTCTTGAATGCATCCCCCTGCATGTGTCGTATGCGCCGTCCTGCTCCGATGGGCCGAGATCCAGCGCTCGGAGCAAGGAAATCCGTATCTTATGCCGTTCTGCCCCAAAACTCGCGGCCTGGCCCGGCAAAACGCCAAAACCCCCAGCCCGCAGTAGCCGGCTCAAACATCCAGAGCCCACCATGCTTGCCTCCGCGCGACGAATTTCGGGGGCGTCGGTATAACTACCCGAGCCTGCGCGCCTTGCAGCCACAGTTTGGGGATAATCCAAATCCACGCCACCAGCAGCCATGGCACCACCCATCTCCTCCCTGTCGTCTCTCGTGGCGTCAAGCCAAATCCCGACGCCGCTGCTCCCGAAGCCCAGCAGCAGAGCGCTCGCCGTCGCGCCCTGTAGCTCCGCGTCCACTTCGTCGACTCTCCTCTCCACGCCGCAGCGCCTGATCAGGTGTCGGCGTCGGCGGGCAGGAGGGGGCTGCTGGCGCTGGGCGCGGGGTTCCTGGCCTCGGCCGCGCTGCTGATCCCGGCGGGGGACGCCGGCGCCACGCGCGTCGAGTACTACGCGACGGTCGGGGACAAGCTGTGTGACCTGAGCCTCGTCAAGTCCGGCCTCGCGTACTGCGACGTGGAGGTTGGCACCGGTGTCCAGCCCCCGCGCGGCGAGCTCATCAATGTCAGTACCGACAGAACCGTTTCTTGCATGCCCTGCGATTTCCTTTGATTCAACTTGCTCTGTACAGTGGACAATTTCCCTTCTACTATATACGAGTAATATATGCCATCCTGTTCTGGATTGTGTGTTGCTTCGGATCATAATTCGTTCTCCTTGACGGTCGTCAGGTGCACTACACTGCAAGATTTCCTGACGGCACACTGTTCGACAGCAGCTACAAGCGCGGCAGGCCACTGACAATGCGCATAGGCGCAGGCAAGGTGTGCAGCATGTGTTGCTCACTTGAAACGACGTTCATTTTTTCCATGCCACTAGATGATCGTTTGTTTCTTTCGCGTTTTCCGTGTGCAGATCCTCCGAGGGCTTGAACAGGGGATTAGTGGCGGTGGTGGTGTGCCACCCATGCTTGTTGGTATGTGCAGAACTCAGCAGTTAGCTGTGCATTAGAGGCTTTTTGCTTTGGCATGTTGTTTCATGACTCCGTTGCAAACCTGCTTCAGGTGGAAAGCGCAAGCTGATGATGCCTGCGTCACTGGCGTACGGGCCTGAACCAGCAGGCTGCTTCTCAGGTCAATTTCTCACCCTTTCTTGGAAAATAATAACAGTAAAAATTTCTGTAGCAATAGCAACTGGCTGCACCATAGATAAGCATTTTCAGAGTTGCTCTGACTCTAGCATTGTCAGCAAACTCAACACGTGTTCAGAACTTCAGAGTTCAGACCCTCTAGTTTTTTGACAGGAGACTGCAACATCCCCGGAAACGCCACACTTCTATATGACCTTTACCTCGTTGGGATTTACAAGTGAGCGCACGATGGCAAGGAATATTCAGGACCTAGAACAAATAAGGTCTGGTATAGTGCAGTGCACAGCATTCTCAACTCGCCTGATGATTTTCTGTGAATCACGTTGGCAAATTGACTCTCTTCTTTTCAGAGTAAACGATCATTCTCTTTTCCATGATTGTTAATCACGTTAGGAAATTTTACTTTGGCAGATTCTTTTTCCCTGGAACACGTGGAGAGTTTCAGGGGCAAGTTTATCCGGCAGATGAAAGTGTTTCTGCCATGATTGGTGGTGAAAGCACCTGCAGCGCCACCCGTAGAAGCTTGTGCATAGGACTACTGTTCACTTTCCATACTCGATTGGCAGTGCTCCAGACCTATTTCTGTAGACCAGAAAGCTACCTGGATTGCAGAAAAATGGTACGCGGGCGACTTGCATTGAATAAAAGAATGATATAAACCATCCTTGTGACATAATAATGCCATCGTGGAACAAACATATTGTTCATTATATCAGTTTGGTACGGCCAAAGCGACCGCCAAGTGCTATACAGTTTTGCACAGCCAATATGGACTTGTGAATTATTTGTCAGTCAGCATGACTAGCAAATGGCGTCAAATCCTTCAGCGTTCAATTATGCCGACTAATCCCCCGTATGGTTTCACATGGTTGGTGAAACACTCACGTTTAGAATATGCAGAGAAGCAGAGGTCCCTTGCTCGTGTCTGACACACGTGCAGCAGCCTTGACTGTCGCCTGACCTAGAAATTCTCCATGCTCATGGAGCAAATTCTCGTCTCCCATTGTTAAGCCATCAGAAAACGGAATATACGTCGTCAAGAGAATATCCTTTGAGCGAACTAACAACCCCCCATTTGTAACAATTAAGGGGCATCAACGCGTGAGCACGACCGGTTCAGACGGTGCCCACCTGCTTGCCTGAATTGGGGAGGTTGGTGAAGCTACAAAGGCGAAGCTAACCACTGGCACCATTTCCATGGTTGTCAAATGTCAACCTGATAATTCCAGAAGTATCTCGTCAGTTTAAAACGACCGCTCTTTCGTCAAACCAACCCTCAATAGTAGCCAGCCTTTCGCATACTCAGGTCTTCAGGCGTGGAATTCTTCAATGACTCGTGCGGTGAAGACGTAAATTCGCAGAAGCGAAAGCGTAAAATAGGACCAAGCCGCATTAGCCATTGTACCACCACATCGGTATCGGAGAACTATTTTGCTTGTGAGAGAATATCACTGGGATGGTAGGGCTTGGCTTATATTGTACTAAAAATTTTCAGTGATTTTGACCTCACCTCTTTTCAGAGTGAGAGAGCCGGGCTATGTCATTGGCGATTCTTGGGAGCGCCAAGAGCTGTTTCGTCCAGCTAAGAAACGCTTTCTCGACACTGGAAGGGCAGAGAGGTTGAACAAGAACAACAGAGGGTGCGCCTATTGCTAGCTGCAGAGCAGCAAAGAACAGATTAACAGAAGCTGTTGTCGCTCATGACTCATGAGAAGTCAGCTGCAGCAGCGCATGGTTTCAGCAACCTACCAATTGTCATACTCGCTAAACACCTCCACAGAAATTCGACTAAAACAAATCCTGGCCAACGTAGGAGTAGCTAATAAGTCGCATAGTAAACAAGGAGCGGGAAAACCAAACACCCAAATTGCATACGAAGATGGGTTGAAATTGAACACACCCAGCTCTAAATTATTCACATAGCTGACGGTAACAATCACATGATATATATTTGTATACAAACATACAAATAGTCCAGCACATAAAGTCCGACAGATGTTCAAAGATTACAAGGCAACACTAAGAACACAATTTATTTATTTTTAGTTTTATCTAAAGTCAAACTTTATTATCTTATTAAAAAATATAGAAAAAATATACTAACATTTAATGCATCAAATTAGTTTAATTAAATCCACCATAAAATACGTATACTGTATATTTTAGCATACCATAGGTACATGTTTCTATATCGACGATTTTAAGTATTAAGTTTTTAAGTTTTGGTAGTTTGTAATGTTCAGCACGCAATAAACATTTTCCAAGCAAAGGCCTATAGTCAGGGTATATTCCATCATTTCAAGTCTCCTTTATTGGCTCTACCCAAGTCAACTTGATTCTTCCTCTAAATCTCTTACATCGGTATATTCCATCATTTCAGATTTATTGGCTTCCCACCCAAGTCAACTTCGGTCTTGCCTCCTCTTGGTCTCTGTATCATGGCTTAGGATTCTTGTATGCTCATCAACATCAAGTCCAAACCATCTCAACGTGTTGGACAAGCTTTTCTTCAATTGGTGCTACCCCTAATCTATCACGTATATCATCGTTCCGAACTCGATCCCTTCTTGTATGACCGCAAATCCAACGCAACATACGCATTTTTGCGACACTTATCGGTTGAACATGTCGTCTTTTCGTAGGCCAGCATTCTGCACCATGCAACATAGCAGGTCTAATCGTCGTCCTATAAAACTTGTTTTTTAACTTCTGTGATACCCTTTTTGTCACATAGGACACCAGATGCATGACGCCACTTCATCCACCCTACTTTAATTTTATGGCTAACATCTTCATCAATATCCCCGTATCTCTATAGTATTGATCCTAAATATCGAAAGGTATCCTTCCTAGACACTACTTGACCTTTCAAACTAATATCTTTCTCCTCCCGAGTAGTAGTGCCGAAGTCACATCTCATATACTCAGTTTTAGTTCTACTAAGTCTAAAACCTTTGGACTTCAAAGTCTTCCGCCATAACTCAAGTTTCTGATTCACTCCTATCCGGCTTTCATCAACTAGCACTACATCGTCCACGAAAAGCATACATCAAGGGATGTCCCCTTGTATGTCCCTTGTGACCTCATCCATCACTAAGGCAAACAGATAAGGACTCAAAGCTGACCCTTGATGTAGTCCTATCCTAATCGGGAAGTCATCCGCACCTATTTCTTGGGACTTTATTTTGTTCAAAGCCCAGAAAATTCCTATACTTTAAACAAACTAAAACTGAAAATACTCGATGACAGTCACCTGATAAGGCGCATTTGCGTCAGTCGTCGCCTCCCCATGCCCCCCTCTCTCTCTCCGGCATGCTCCTCCCCGGCTACCTGCGCCCACTTGCCCTTGTTAACTCCGACGAGGCATCTCCACACCTCAATTGGGATATCATCTCGGTCACATCGCCATCCTTTTCAACGCAACCCCGGATTCTCCACAAAGCACCTATTGATGTCATCAAAAGAGTCATCCAACCCAAAGTATCTGCACCTGTGCCCTATTCTCACCATTGAACAATTTGTCAAAATACTCTTGCCATCGATGTCGGATCTCATCCTCCTTTACCCCTCCATTCTCTTTAATGCCCCAACTCCAACGGGCTTAGAAGAAGGGGCTCGAGGGGAGGGGGAGGGAGGCAGGCCGCCCAATAGTGAGGACGGCGGCCATGCGGTTAGGGGCCCTGGCGGCGGTGGAGGTGGCCAGACCATGTCAAGGCAGGGACATGTACACGAGCTCCATGGTCGGATCACCTTGCAGGAAGCTTCTTGGCAAAGTCAATGATGCAGAAGAAGGATGGGGAAAGGTTGGCTAAGAAGGCCTACTACCATACCCAAAATCTCCGAAAGCACTGCGGGCGCTATAATTTAGTTAAAATTAGAAAAACTATACTTTAAACAAACTAAAATGAAAATACTCGATGATAGTCACCGATAAGGGCGCGCCAATCGCCTCTCCCAGCCCGCAGTGCTCCCCGTGACCGGGGGTGAGGACGAGGAAGAGGGAGGGGTCGAGACGGCCGGCGACGAGGTATTCGAGGCCGATGGTAGCAGGGGAGGAGGCAAGGGTGGGAGAGGAGGGCTGCCGTCGACGGAGAAGGAAGTGGGGAGAGCGGGCGCGCGACGGCCACGACTGAAGGAGAATGTGACTTACGCTTAATCAAAATGTCAGTCATCTATCCCTAAGACACACCCAAACTAAAATGGCATGCGTTTTACTATGGAGGCAGCAGGAAACTCTCGTGACTCCTACATGTTCAAAGTTGAAATTAGTTTTTTTTCCTCTAAATTTCCTGAAAATTTCAGAGTCCCGGTTTCATGAAACGAGGACAGGCACCCTCTTTGTTCCACGGCACCAACCCATGCGCACGCAATGTACCAACCAAACCAACAACTACCATCGCTCTCCTGGTCGCGGTCGCGGCGGCCGTTTATAAAACCGACCGAGCCGCGCCGCACCAGAAGTCGGGAGCACGACCCACACGAACCAGCAAACAACGAGCCCTTTTCGCCCCTTGCCCCTCGGTTTCGTCGCCGCTTCCCGGTGATCTCCGCGACCGCGACCCGTCGCCGCCGGTGCCGCCGCCGCAGATCTCGCCGAGGACACAGGGATCGGTTCCGCCGCCCGGGCAACTGGACCTAGAAAAAGGAGGCTCTCCGCTCCCTGTCGAGTTCCCGAGGCGCTACTCTACCAGGGTTCGGCATCCTTGGTTCCCCACGTATGTGATCTTCGTGCTTTCCCTATTTCGTGCTTTGCTTAGGTTCTGGAGTGGTAGTGCTAATTGTTTGTTTGATGGGTTAATTAGATTCGGTTGCTGCTATTTTAAGCTGCTGCTGCCAATGTTTTTAATGGTCATCCTAATGATCCTTTTTTTTATTGATTTTTATCTCTAGGTTGCTCAATGTTAGGATAAGCAGGCTTTAGTAATTACACTGTCTCTTGCAATGTCACTGCATTCAATTGGGGCTTTAAGTCCTCAGCTGGCTATGTAAGAATTCAACTAATTTTGTTGTATGTATATTGGAACAGATGGCCACTTCCACAACTCAGCATGTGCTTTCATCCATCAAATTGCTGCCCATAGGCTGCTTCCATCCTGATAAGAGAAATAGCTGTGTGCTTTCTGTTTCAGTAGGGCGTCGCTGCCCCAGTGCCCGTAATTTGGGTTTAGTTTGTGCTTCAAACACCCAAACTTCAGTGATTGAGCCAGTTCAGCTACCGGGGAGCCCTAAAAGTGGCGTAACTCCAAAGAAATCAGGTACGTTCTTAAGTTCAGCAACACTGAGCAGCGGTCACAAAATTGTTCTACGAAACACTGATTCATTGACATTATAAGATTGTTGTTCACGTGCATGTAGGTGAAAGCGCACTCATTCTGATACGGCATGGAGAATCCTTGTGGAATGAGAAGAATCTGTTTACTGGATGTGTCGATGTTCCCCTGACCCCTAAGGGTGTTGACGAGGCAATTGAGGCGGGAAAAAGGATATGCAACATCCCAGTTGATGTAATATACACTTCGTCGCTGATTCGGGCTCAGATGACCGCTATGCTTGCCATGATGCAGCATCGTCGTAAGAAGGTTTTAAAATCTTTTCCTTTTATATTTCCAGTATTCATATCGAGTGTGTTCATGTTTGCAATTGATAAACTAAAGAGGTTATGGCATCTGCCACTGACCATTTTAGGTTCCAATCATTGTGCACAATGAGAGTGAACAAGCTCACAAGTGGAGTCAGATATACAGTGAAGAGACAAAGAAGCAGTCCATTCCTGTCATAACAGCTTGGCAGTTGAATGAACGAATGTAAGAGTTTCCTGCACTCTAGAATGATTATCTGGTGCATTGTATTATTTCTTATTGAACCTGACATGTAATTTTACCTTGCCATCTAAGGTATGGTGAGCTTCAAGGCCTTAACAAGCAAGAAACCGCTGATCGATTTGGTAAAGAACAAGTTCATGAATGGCGTCGCAGTTATGATATTCCTCCCCCAAATGGAGAGAGCCTTGAGATGTGTGCAGAGAGAGCAGTTGCTTATTTCAAAGACCAAGTAAGGATATTATCAGACACTGCTATTTCAGTTTACATGTTGCTTTGTATGCTTACAAAAGTCAGATGCTGCAAGCTTTGGTTTTGAAACTATGGTTAGCCTTCAATTATCTCTACCAACTAATTCTAAATATGTTTCTGTCGGTATCGCCTAATACAACATCAAACACTGACCTGCATTGCAATTCAGTATTTTTTTCCCCATGAACTTTGTAGTATAACCTTGGTACGCTGCTTGTCTCTACCCTCTTAGATTATACCTAAACTTGTGGCTGGAAAGCATGTAATGATTGCTGCCCATGGGAATTCACTTCGTTCGATTATAATGCATTTGGACAAGTTGACTTCTCAAGAGGTATTTTATGTTTGTTTTGTACTTTAGTTACTTTTCACAGTTGGTGTCCTTGTATTGAGATTGTTGACAGGCCCTTCATTTCTCAGGTTATCAGCCTTGAGTTGTCTACTGGCATTCCTATGCTGTATATATTTAAGGAAGGGAAATTTATCAGGCGAGGAAGTCCTGCAGGACCTGCTGAAGCAGGTGTCTATGCTTATACCAAGGTACGAATATTCTCTGCTTCCCAGTTGGGATGAAACAACATTCTGGTTTAATCTGTATTTTTCCAAACAAACTGACATATCTAGGAGCATCAGTTGCAGTTTTTGAGCTCTTAATGTTTAAAGTTCAGACAACTCAATCTATTTTATTTTAATCGCAATTACAAAGCAGTAGTATTGTTCTATTGTCTTATTGTAAATGGTTTGTGGTGCAAACTTTTTAAATGTCTTAAAATTTTTATATCTCCAACTTAATTTTTTTTTGGTGCAGAATTTGGCTCAGTATAGACAGAAGCTTGATGGCATGGTTCAGTAGTCATCTGTTAGGTAAAGATTTGTTATTTCCATGTATAGTAACCGATTTCTCCAAAGGGATATATATTTGTAAAACTAATCATTTACTCTTGATGGTTTGTAGGCTTTTCGTTTGCTACTGGTTGCTGCTCATCCGTCGAACATGCATTTGGTCCCAAAAGAAGGGGTCAAGCTCTCTACTGTTCATCATTTGAAATCTTTAAGACATAGTACAAGTTTGTAGCGGCTCGTTTATCTCTTCGGAATCCTTCCAGCACGTGGTAGTAAAATATAGAGGATAATTAGCTGATGGGCTGTAGATACAGATGGGGATAAATTTTGATGGCAATTGTGTTATCTTCTCGCGTTCCCCATTCACTTAGATTGAAATATTTGTAATGGCGCAGCAGTAAACACTTCTAGTGGAACGGCATGATACGAGATGGTGTGATCGAATGCTTGTTCCCCATTTCATCAATTCCTTTTTGCCCCAGTGTGTGATCGGAATGTTCTATCCTAGCTTGGCAGACATTCCATTCGGATCCTTTTGGCCTGGCCAGCGAGCATCCTGTTGAAGCTGCTCTGCGGCATTGTTCATCCGTTGTGCCGACAAGCACGGAAGATGCAGAATTCCAGATTCAAGGCCTCGCACAAATCTAGCGGCGCAAAAACTGACGCGCAGGTGGCATCTAGGCCGGCAGAAGTCGGTGGTATAAAAATTTGTGGCTGCAGGTCAACCACCCCCCGTGGTTACCGTCTACCATCCACCCCGCCAAATTGGATTCCTGCATCTGGAGATCATAAGCCCGTTGGTTTGACTTGAAGTACAGTCATTTATCATTCATTCACTGCCGAAGTGCCAACTCACACTCACAGCAAGCATCTTCTTCCATCGCTCCATGTAATTCATGGTAAAGCAAACACGCATCATGCTTATCACTCCTGACATTGCTGCTAATATCATTGAACCCAGACAGTGGCAGAGCGAGCGAGAGGGCATCCTAGGTGGTGTGAGTGACCCAGCATCGAAACACGCCCAGTTTGCTAACAGCAGAAACAAGTGTTCTCGTAGACATGACAGCATCAAAGGGACGGGACGGGGATGGCTCCAGGACCAGGAGGAAGCAGCAGCATGAGCAAGCAAAGCACACCCCCTGAATTGGAGGCAAGCGAGCCCATTTCCATTTGAAGGCAACACAACACAATTCCCTCGCCGCCACCCGTCTTGATTCCCCCCACCCCCCACCCCACCCACGACCACGACGGCCTCCGGATGAGGGCCGGGTCCTGCCGCGTCTTTTACCGTCAGCTGGATGTCAAATCACAACGCGCCCTGTGACATCCCCAAGCCGGCCTCCGTCGACGAGTTCCTCGTCAAGAATGGCAAGAAGAAGAAGGTAGCCCATCCTGCCATCCTTGCATTCCGGCCGGCCATTTTCCCTCGCGCGCGGAGGCTACCTAGCTGCCTGTGCGTGCGTGCACCGTGCAATGTGGCTGATGAGGTTTGTTTGCTCTCCCAGTCCTTCATGTCGGGCCTCTTCCGCAAGAAAGGGAGGGGCGCGGACAAGAAGCTGCTCTCGAGGCGGGACATCGTCTTCGGTGAGTGCGCGCGTGCGTGCCGGCGGATGCTCGCGGCAGGTCCCAGCGTTCGCCGGTCCGGCGGGCGGTTGGATTGCTGACGCATGGTTTCACGTTGTTTTCTGCAGATTTGGAGGGCAAAAGCGGCGACAGGATGGACCTCTTGGAGGCGTCCCCCGCTGTCCGCAAGAGCTTCTCAGGTAACGCCGGCCGCCAGCCGGATCATTCGAGAGAACGATACAGTGATGACAATGTGCAACGTTGGCTGTGGTCTGCTGCCGAGAATGTGCTGTGCCTGTGCGCGCCTGATGTGATGACTCGCTGGGCTTTGTGTTTCAGATCGGCACTGCACGACGCGGATCGAGAACCTGACCCTGAGCTGCCTGGATTCTCCCAGGAGACCCAATGTCGACACCCGGGAGTACCGGTAACAGCAACTTGCCATTTGGACTGAAGTTTGACGCTAATTAATCTCTCCTGCTTCTGCAAACCTCAAGCTCATTGCTTGATGACCTGTTTCCCCCCTAGCTAGCAGCTACTACAATGCTCATCGTTTTTTGAGCGTCCCTTTTGTTTTATCTGATATATAAACTTGAAGTTGGACCATGTTTGACGATCTTGCAGGGTGTTTGTAGGCACATGGAATGTGGGAGGGAAGCCTCCTGACAGCAGCGTTAACCTTGAAGAGTTTCTGCAGATTGAAGGATTGCCCGATATATACGTCTTGGGGTACAGATTTAATTTCACAATTTCGTTCGTTGCCAACTTTTTTATGCATCCTGCATCGTTCTCATGCATAGATATACTCGGATCTTCGCACTCTAATGCATTTGGACGTTCGCAAAGGTTTCAGGAGATCGTGCCTCTGAACGCCGGCAACGTACTGGTCGTGGAGGACAACGAGCCGGCGGGCAAGTGGATGGAGCTCATCTACCAGGCCCTGAACAGGCCGCCGGCCCCGGACGGGCAGTCCTCCGGCGACGAGCTCTCGCCGCCGGAGTCCACCTCCTCCTACTACCCCCAGTCCCAGGGCCGGCAAGGCGTCCGCGACCCCAGCAACGCCGCCATCCCTAAGTCCTCCAGCGGCGGCCTGCTCTCCGCGCAGAAGCCGCCGCCGCCGCTCAAGATGGTCAACAAGAGCTACCGCGTCGACAACGCGCTGGTGAAGACGTGCACCTGCATGTCCGACCCGTCCACCATGCAGCGCAGGGCGCGGGAGATGCGCGAGTTCCTCTACCGCGTCGAGGCCGCCGCCGCCTCACCGAACCGCGGCGCCGACGACGACGCGCTGCCTTCCATCGAAGGCGGCGACCAGAGGGGCGGCATGAACTACTGCCTCATCGCGAGGAAGCAGATGGTCGGGATCTTCCTGTCCGTGTGGGTGCGGCGGGAGCTCGTGCAGTACATCGGCCACCTCCGGGTCGACTGCGTCGGCCGGGGCATCATGGGCCGCCTCGGGAACAAGGTCTGCGTGTTCTCTCGTGCATGCCTAATCTTACGAACGAGCGAGCGTCTGATTCTGAATTCTGAAATCACCAGGGATGCATCGCCATGAGCATGACGCTGCACCACACGAGCATCTGCTTCGTGTGCTGCCACCTGGCGTCCGGCGAGAAGGAAGGCGACGAGGTGCGGAGGAACTCCGACGTCGCCGAGATCCTCAAGAACGCCCAGTTCCCGCGCATCTGCAAGGTGCCCGGCCAGCGCGTTCCTGAGAAGATCATTGACCACGAGTAAGCAAGCATCCACTGAAAATAAAACATGGCAGGGCACATCATTCTTCTACACCTCTGGTGCTTACTTACGCCTCTGAATCAATGTCCATGCAATGCTGCAGCCGGATCATCTGGCTTGGGGATTTGAATTACCGAGTCTCGTTGAGCTACGAGGAAACAAAGACGCTGCTGGAGGAGAATGAATGGGACATCTTATTGGAGAAAGATCAGGTATCATATAAACTTACTCCATACGAACAGGATTTTTCAGATATGCTACAGTGCTACTACAGAGAAACGCAGTAAAAATACCCGTGGTTTCTCTCAGAAAACCTGATGCTGACAATATCGTACATTGACAGCTCGCGATGGAGAGACAAGCCGGGAGAGTGTTCAAAGGGTGGAAGGAGGGCAAGATCTACTTCGCCCCTACATACAAGTACAAGCGGAACTCCGACTCATACGTATGGGATACTGCGAAATCGAAGAAGAAACGACGAACGCCGGCATGGTACAAAACTAGTACAGCATTGGTTTGAAGATCCAGACATGCCCAAAGCTTTGAGGCTTCCCTGAGGCAGACTGATATTTCTGAATGTTCCATGTTGATGATGCAGGTGTGACCGGATACTGTGGCACGGCCAGGGCATCGAGCAGCTGCAGTACATCAGGGGCGAGTTCAGGCTCTCCGATCACAGGCCTGTCTGCAGCGTGTTCGTGGTCGAAGCCGATGTAGATAGTGGGAGCAAGATCAGAAAGGGCTACTCAACTCTGGACGCTAGGATCCACTGCGATTCCTCCGCGATACCCAAGAGACACAGCTTCTATGATGACTTCTAAAATTTTGACTTGTGATGATAGTTTTGTCTATAATATAGTAGCTTACAAAGATCAGAAACGTTTGTAGCGAAAAGGCTGAAGTTTTTCAAGCCCAACACTTGTCTTGTACCAAGTGGTATACTAACTGAAAGTCAATGGTGGTTGCTGAACAGAATACAAGTGAACAATGGTATTTCACCCAACAGCTACTGTCTGCTGGTGAAAAGCGCTTGCAGTCTTGCTATTGAGTATAGAAAATGCCATCCAGATAGGCAGATACAACAGTATTTTTCCTGTAAATACAAGGGCATAGCAGAAACTGAACACTGGATCACATTCTGTCATGAAAATTGAAAAGTGAGGGTAACATTATGGTATAAGTTCTTTACCATATGGTAGATCTCATTCTGTCATGAAAAGGTTCCTCAAATAAGATCGTGAGGACAGAGAAATAGGTGCCTGACTACAAAACAAGTCAGGCATGACGATTTGCCATGTTAAAAGAGTTTCTCATCGCTTTTTGTGTTCATCTTTTAATGAACTGTGGTAGAGATCCTATCAATTTTTAGCATTTTTGTTTCATGGTGATACTCAGAGATCAGATTAAACGCCACTTTTATCTGCTGGGGCATTAGCTTCTCCTGGCAAGCTTTTCTGCTCAACTGTGCTTGATTCAGTCCGTGTTTGTTCCTCCTTTTCAGATTCGATATCCGATTCTTCACTCTTTTCAGGAGCAGTCTCCATGTTTTCCCTCTTTCCAGATCCAGCATCTTCAGTCTTCGCACCTGAAATGCTTCCTAGGGCTTTTTGGCTGCTCATCTGATATGGCTCAGAAGCAAGAGCTGAATTCTCAGGCTCCAAAATGATGGTATCTTCTTGTCATCTTCTCTCATCCTCACAGCATAATCATTTATATTGAAAGTAGCTGGGTTCTTGCCACCAAATGCACATTCTAACTCTTCCATGTTGAAAAGGTCTTCCATGATCTTCATGGTGTCAGGTCTGTCTGAGTATACAAATTTGACCTTGTTTCTGGTCTTCTTCTCAAGAAGGGGGCTTGCCATCTACATTCAGATCTAGATTTTAGTTCTTGAAATGTATCACGAATTCATTATTAACTGAAAGTAACATCAGGTGTTTAATTTACTAGATACATATGAAACTGATACTTATGTACAGCAAAACTACAAGGCAACATCTGTCTTGCTGCTGCTGTTCCGCTTCAGTTACTCTCTAGTGTTTCATTATGGCTGGCTGCTGCTGCTGAGATGCAAGCGTGCCACGAGCAACCCACAAAATTAAGCCTATATGCGGGTTCACGGGATATCCCGCTTGCATCCCTAGCTGCAGTAGCAAGCTCAGTTGAGCTCACCGAATAAGTACATAAACAAATATGCTTTACTCCAATATCAAGATGGAAATTCAAAAATGTTACTCCAATCTTTTACTGGAGTCTACATATAGGAAGGTGAATGAAATTGGTCAGGACATGATGCATTCATGGAACATGTCATCGTACATATCTGATGAAATAAATAAGAAGCTCAAAGATTGTAAAGACATACCTTCCAGAAAGGCTCAAAAAACTTTGGAGCATTGTAAAGAATCGCCACACCCAATCTTTCAGGATAATGGCCTTGTAGGACATCTGCCGTCATCTTTGTCACCTGAATTGACAAGTTACCTAAGTTGAAACCAGCAAAATCAATGAGCCAAACCATCTGATCCTGACCATGTGGCAGATTTAGAATTGCATTCTCCATACAGTACACCAAGTACTTGACTTGCCCATTGGGATTCTTGGTATTCTGAAAAATAAAATAGCAACTCAGAATGATTGAATTAGACAGCATGTATATATATGCATATAAATATGTGCAGTGAAAATGATAAAAACAAAAAGCTGCTGTGGGAAGACATTCACGTCTCAAAAAAGAAAAGACGGGTGAAGGAAGGGGGACAGAAGAGCATTATCAAACCTGGCATCCAGGTCTCATGACAAGGATACTCCGCCCAATCTTGTCAAAGTAATCAGTTCGGTAAGTTTTCCCGGTCACCGCTTCATCAGATATGTCATCCTACATAAAGAAATGCAAAATACGATTTTCCACCAGATAATAACCCATCAAACCAGATGTCATAATGCACCAAATGTTTCACAAAGCATGCTAAAAAGCTCCGTGCTGGCATAAGCAAAATCCCACGTGTACCATTGTCACATCCTTCAAAGCAATATGACTTAGAAAAAATCTCACCCAACGGATTTCATCTGGCTTGTATTCTGAACGCCATTTTAAGGTCTTCTTCAGCATTCTAGTAGCCTTCTTTACGTCCCAGTTCCTTGCCATCAGGTACCTTGCAATTGAAGCATCTGAGCAATATAGAGCTGATTTTCCAGATAGCTGCCCTAGGTCAGTTCTAACTTTACCAATCTGACATGAAAGAAAAAGAAAAATAAGAATGCACAGTGTATGAGTTCTATATAAGATAATGGTAACAATTGGCTATTTGGGTGCCTAACTGGAAAAGAAAAAGGAAAGGAGGCAAACAAGTTTAAGATGCATTTTATATCTAGAGCTCTTCCACTTAGTAGCAAACAAACAAAATATTGAACCCAGGTGACATGAAATCACCTTGGACAGCTGCTCCTCATACAATGCTGCTTCTTTCCCATGGCCATTGCTTGTACCACTCACTGAACTCATAGTGCCCTTTCACTATTTCCTACAAGAATAAAATCCAAAGGCCTTGTAAGAACTTCAGTCTAAGTTACACAAAGGAGAATAACTATAGCTCCTGTGAGGGAGAAAAACAGCAAGACAGGCAAAGTAAAAACAGAATTTCAGCAGACATGCACAGCAAAAGTGCTGATGGTAAAATCATTCACAATTTACGAATTGTACAATTATGCTAGGATTTGAACTCCATACTGAGTTCATTGAATCAAGCACAGTTAAGCAGATACAGAGTGTCTAGGCAGTAAAGATAACATATCATGTTCAGAAGCAAACTAAAAACCCTCACAGAGCCCATGAAGTATCAGAACATATTTAGAGGTAAACTAAAGCAATTTGACAGAGCCCACACTAGAGGTACTAGATTTTGTCTTGCACAGACAATGAAAAATTCATAGTTGACATGCTAAAAACGTGTGTATGAATAAACGTATACGGATAATGGGGAATTGCCATGTTTGTGTGCATAAACATACCTTCTTCCATGTATAAAGAGCCAAATTCTGTGTATAAGTAGACCAACAGAGAGCGCCTTTTCTGTCTTCTACATGTATGCTAATACTGCTAGTAGTAGAGTAGCACAATAAAACACTACCAACTACGGCAATATTAATGGACAGGGCAGGCAGAAATGAAACCATCATAATGCAGCAATCTATGATATCAAGGGCATCGACCCCAAAGAGCCCCAACTTTGCATAACTAACTAATGAAACGGACAACCAAGAAACAGCCAAACCGGTAAACAAAATTTCAGATAATCACATCAACAACCATGTCCCTCCCAATTTCATTCCAGTAAACGAGCAGAGCCCAGGATAGCAAAATCCCAGTTGAAGCACGGCACACCTCTGCGCCACCACTACGGTCAACGGGGCGCTCTCCTGGCAGAACTAGGAAATCCAACTACTCCACGAAATGGCAGTACGAGTATGTCACCACAAGACGCAACGGATATTCTACTCCATCAGACACAGTGCAAGCTGCGAGACCCCTAGCCTGCGATTGCCTCCTCCAAGCTAACGACCACACGGAGCAAAACCTCCCCCACATATCGCGTGATCGAGGGTTCCTTGCGCAATCACCAAATCGCTAGGAACAACAACAGGAAGCAAGCAATCTTCCGAACAAAAAGGCGCTCGAAAAGTCTAATCCCCTCAATAAGATAGAGCAGCATAGAGCAAGAGTTGAGGACGAGCTCCCGGCGCTCACCTCAGCAAGCCGCTCGAGCGGAGGAAGGCGGCGAGGGGCAGAGAGGGAGGCAGGTTGAGCGAACCGTCCCCCGGTCCCCCTTCCCTCCTCCTACCCTCCTCTTCTTCCTCCTTGTGCTCGGGAAGAAGCGAAGATGCCTGGGGAGGAAAATCCAATGCGACGGGACGGGAGGGGGCGGTCGCATCGGACGGCTCCCGTCGGTTGGGGCTCTCACGTGGCGTATTTGGACGGCCGGGACGGACCCACGCCCGCGTACTTGCCGGCGCATAGGACAGAGTGGGGTCGTCGCGACTCGCTGGGCGCTGAGCTGTGTGCGACTGCGATCCGGATCTGGACATGTGCTCGGCGTGGAAATAGTTTTTGCTGCCGGATCAGATCGGTTTGCGAGCGATGCCGTGACTGTGATCGTGTCATCGTGTGTGTGTTTAAAAAAACTTGGGGATTGGACAGGGTGTGACCGTGTGTCTGTGTCCGTGTCACCTAATAATTGAGGGGTACGGCCGTATTTTATTTGTTCAACCCGTTCATGCTTTTCGTCAGACCTTATAAGTCAGTAAATAGTATTTTTCTCTCGCAACAAATAAACATCAGTCTAGCTTGTCAGTGTAGAAATTATCAGGGAACAGGTCGTTAAGGGTGTGGAACTGAAACATGTAGCGTGTTTTTCCGCAGACGACCTTTTCTTGTGACCACGATGCATGCTTTCGCTCTCGATCATCTGGTGGTAGTAATGATGATGGAGAAGGTGAGGACGGCGGCTGCCTTTTTGTGTTGATTACTCGTGGTTTTTGTCCGCTTGATTGGATTTGGATGGTCAAAGGACTTTTGCCCGGTTCCGGGTGGCCGAAGCCGAATCCCCTACGACAGCAGCTCACGCACGTCCTTGTTGGCAGCCACGGCCTGCTGTTTCTATAACACGGGGCTGCTTCAACTTTGAACTTCTGGATGCAAACAGCAGGCCGTAGCTTCAACTTTGTTATCTGCTGCTAGTGGAGCTCCACCGACCATCGGCGCACCGCGCACAAGCCTCGGTTGCGCCCGCGGCCGGCGCACGCATGCCTGTCAATCTGTCATGCATCATCCATCACGCTTGCCGGTCTGGGGACCTGAGGATTGTCTTTTGTTTTAGGGAACCTGACGATTGTCGAAGACCATCAAGTCGGCTGGCTTCGCCAATCACTACGGCCCATGCCTGGACCGAGGAGGGCCCAATGCACCAATACCTGGGCCTTTTACCCCTCACTTTTATATAACAAAAACATGATTTGGCGAAGTTTAGTGCGTTTCAGACACATGATTTGGCATTCCACGTATCATTGTGTATACTATCCTAAAAAAACATATCATCGTGTATATGAGTTTCAATTTTCTAACTTAATTTATGTCTTCACGTTTAGTCTTTTTGTATTTCATGGTGTGTGTGCGCTTTACCTTCCTAGTGTAGTTAGCTAGATTAGTTGATATGATTGGAATCTAGGACGTAAAACTCTTTTTAGGTTAGAGATAGCAACGTTGAGAAAAAAAACTAAATAGTTTTTGGACCATAGTCTTTAAGTGACCTAATTTCATCCCCTCTTAGTTAGCACGGTCATTTCACCAAGGGTTCGTAACTTTTTATAAAACAAAATAAATTAAATGGATATTATTATTAATGACTATTAGGATATACTGAATTAATGGTTTAATGTTTCTGATTTAATAATTTATGTCAGTGAACTTTTTTTAATGTACGCCTCATCATGTTAACAATCAATATAATTCCTACTTGCCTTAGCTTGTTCGAAAAGAACAGGAGAGGAGTGGCATATACCAATGAACATATGGCACCAATAATGTCATAATCTTGCTCAAATTACCCTTTTCTCGTTTGAATAAGTTAGAGAGCATCGGAATTATGAGGAAACACTCAAGGCTTCTGACACGACCGGGATCACGCCACGAAGCTCATCTCGAACTCACGTAGCTTCAACTTTGAAGTTCTGGCGTGCTGCTGGCCTGCTGTAGTGCTGCTAGAGTGCTAGTCTCGGTTGCGCCCGCGGTCGGCGCAGTGGCGCACGCAAGCCTTGCCAGGCATGACACGCATCCATCACGCTTGCCACAAGAGCAAAGACCATCAAGTCGGCCGGCTTCTCCGAGCACTATGGCCCATGCGTGGACTGAGGAGGGCCCAATGCACCAATACATGGGCCTTTGGCCCCTCGCCTTTTTTCCGAACCAAAAACATGATTTGGCGACGTTTTGTGCATTTCAGATATACGATGATGATGATTTGGCGTTCCACGTATTATTGTTCATGAGTTTGCATTTTCTAACTCAATTTGTGTTTATTTATGATTTTGCGTTTAGTGTTCGTATTTCTTGGTGTGTGTGATTTAAATCTAGGATGTAAGACTCTTTTTTGTGTTAGAGATAGCAATATACTTATACAAAAAAAAACTAGTGCGCATTTCGATAGAATTGTTTAGTATTTTATAAGTAGTTTTTGTGCCATAGCCTTTAAGAGCAACTCCAACAAAAGAGCTATCCATGTTGTGTAATCTATATTTGACTATTTTAGAGGAAAAAAGAGAAAGTCCAACAAGTATTGTATCTCGCTTTCTAAAATAGCAAGTCATCTATCCCGGAGTTCTCGTATCCTCGATATAGTTTGCATGTGCGGCTAGCCATTCGCCTAACCCTAATGGAATGTTTGTTGGAGTTTTCTTTTTTTTTTTTTGGTTTCTATTTTAGAAGTTGGCTAAATCATGAGTTTAGCCGTCTATTTTTCCCAACTCTGTTGGAGTTGCTCTAAGAGACTTAATTTCAATCATCTCTTAGTTGTCACGGTCACTTCACTATGGGTTCATTTTTATATAAAATGGAATAGATTAAATTTTAAATGGATACTACTGTATTATTAATGACTATTAGGACATACTGAATCAATGGTTTGATGTTTCTGATTTCTAAATGATTTATGTTAGTGAACTTTTTTTCTATATACGTCTCATCATGTCAGAGTATCTGTTAATAATCAATATAATTCCTACTTCCGTTCGCTTGTTCGAAAAGAACAGAAGGAGAGGGGAGACTTTTATCAATGAACCTCTGGCATCGATAATGCCGTAATCTTGCTCAAATTACCCTTTTTTCGTTTGAATAAGTTAAGAGAGAATCGGAATTCTGAGGAAACGCTCAAGACTTCCATCACAATTCACAACCGGGATCATGCCATGAAGCTCATCTCAAACTCATCCTCGCCGACCATCACGAAGTGCGAGCCCTGATCGATCACCTTCCTGCCGTCCTCCGTCGCCCGGCTGAAGTGCTTGCAGGGGCTCACCTCGAACTCCACGTGCGCCGTCTGCATCGCCCTCAGGTGCAGGCTCTGGAACCCGATCAGCTGTCTGGCCGGCCGGCCGCTGCCGTCCGTCGCGTTGGGCCAGCGCAGGAACACCAGCACCGGGTGCTTCCCGTCCATGGGCCCGTGGTTCTGCACCCGCACCACCGCCGGGAACTTGAGCCGGTCGCACATCTCCGTCCCGATCGCCTCCACGTCGTAGGTCGCCATGCCGCCCGCCGTCGTCTCCAGCGCCTTCAGGCCGGCGACGTTGCTCATGGGAGGCGGCTTCGTGACGAAGCGGTGGGAGTACTTGGAGTAGCTGAGGCCGTAGCCGAAGTTGAACACGGTCGGGCCGCGGTAGAACCGGTACGTCCGGCCGGGGTAGCCCGTGTGTGGGTCGGCGCGCATCCGCATGTCCGTCATGGGCACTCTCGTG